GAATTGAATAACTGTAAATTGAAGATATTCGAATATGTAGAGAGCAGAATGGCATTTATCGCGCCGAACCTATCAATAATTGTCGGTGCGTCAACAGCTGCCAAGATTATGGGTGTCGCGGGTGGTCTGACGAAACTCTCTAAGATGCCAGCTTGCAATCTGCTGGTCCTCGGATCTCAGAAAACCACGCTCTCTGGATTTTCGCAAGTTACCACCTTGCCGCATACAGGATTTATCTATTATTCCGAAATTGTACAAGAAACTCCTCCTGTAAGTTTGTTCTTCTTGCATGCTTTGTACAATAAAAATTATAAGAAGTAGTGAAATATTACAACAATGACTCTAACGTATGTAACGTTACAGGATCTACGGAGGAAAGCGGCAAGGCTGGTGTCATCAAAGAGCATGCTGGCAGCTAGAGTAGACGCCTGCCACGAGAGCACGGACGGTCACATTGGCCAAATGCTGCGCGAAGAGATCGAGAAGAAGTTGGATAAGCTGCAAGAGCCGCCACCCGTGAAGTTTGTGAAACCGCTGCCAAAACCAATCGATCCTGGTCGAAAGAAGCGCGGTGGTAAACGCGTGCGCAAGATGAAGGAACGCTACGCGATCACGGAGTTCAGAAAGCACGCAAATAGGATGAACTTCGCAGACGTAAGTAATAAATGAATGTTCTGGAATTTATAATGTTCTGAGGATAATTAGAGAATATATTATTATGGTGCGATTGCAGATTGAGAGTGATGCCTATCAAGAAGATCTTGGCTACTCGCGAGGGACTATTGGTAAGGCTGGCACAGGTAGAATTAGGTTGCCACAAATTGACGAGAAGACGAAAGTCAGGATATCCAAGGCACTGCAGAAGAATCTGCAGAAGCAACAGCAATGGGGAGGCAGCACCACTGTCAAAAAACAAGTCTCCGGTACTGCTTCCAGCGTGGCTTTCACTCCTTTACAAGTATGTTTACACTTTTTATGCTTTTGACGCTTTACAACTGGTAAATTTAATTGCGTAAAAAATAATTTTTTATTTTGTCTGTATTTGCAGGGTCTTGAAATCGTCAATCCACAGGCTGCGGAGAAGAAGGTCAACGAGGCAAATGCGAAATACTTTTCCAATACAGCTGGTTTTCTAAAGGTCAAGAAAACGTAAATGTATGTTGCATTAAAGATCGATATCCTTGAAAAATCAGTTTACCTCTTGTTCTCGTTGAACGCAATACCTACTATTTATCCACTGATTGCGGATAATATAAAAAAGAGGGAGAGTCAAGAGTGGATCTACGTCACAATTATTGCACAGTAAACATTTCCAATGCAATATTCTGCAGAAGTATATTGTTGCATAGTGGATCATTTTCTCAACGATCACACAATAAACATTTAAAACGTACATTAATAAAGAGGACAAAAATTAAGTTCAGAGTAAATCATTAATTTCTTATTAATGTAATTATAGTAATGTAATTTGCATTGACTAATTTCAGAAAGTTGTTGAAATAGAATCTATTTTTTTTCTGCGCTGTTCGTTCTGTCACAGTCCCATCATTCGCTGACATTAGTCTTCGTCTGGGAGATTCGTAGGCATTTGCTCCGTCTATTCCTACTTATGTCCAAGCACCCGCGGTCGCGCGAAATATAGCAAAACCTTCGCCGGCGAAAGTGCTCGATTTCACATTGATATTATTCAATGATAATTGAGGACTAATTATAAGTGGGGAACGTTCCAACTTGTATGTGTATCACTATTTTTGTCGCATGAATGGCAAATTCCATTATATCGCTTATACATCAGAAGGAGGAAATGGAGACCTAGATATAGAGGTAGATACATAAATAAATAGATAGAGAGAGAGAGAGAGAGAGAGAGATGTGTTGAAATTTTATTAGTATTTTTTAGAGCTTGCAATTAATTATTGTGCAATTATTAATTATATCTATATGAATAAATTACATAAATATTGAATTTAGGATTTATGCTTCAATTTATTCGTACGATATACAAAAGTACATATAAGATAACATAAAATTTATTTCATTTTTCTACGATAACAAGCATAGAAAATGTAATAATCAACTATGTGACATTTTCAACACTATTGAATAGAGAGTAAATATTGCTGAGAGACCACACCTCGCATACATGTTCTCTGATATTCGAGCTTGAACACTATTTCATTTTAATGACACGCGTCATTTACGCAATACATTTTATATATGTAAATCGGTTTATATCGGGAAACGAAAAATTTGCATCGCGTGCTACGCCAGGTTTCCGCATTTTCCAGCTGGTTCGCGAATCGAGATCGAATTCTGTTGCATAAATAGTTGCCATACACCGACTAATTGTTACGTGATTATTACTGATGTAAGCTCAAAAATCTTTTTTCTATGTTTATTTAAAACCGCACGTGAATTAATATGATGCATTATACGTGCATTATATCGTTCTATTTATGTTTCTATAACGATAATTTCTCTACATGCACTTTCATATTCTTTCTCGTAATCTTTTTGCCATGAATAGTGCAACATCATGCAATAATTATAACTAATAGTTTCTGTTCTAACGGAA